CCAGGGGGTCAGGCATTACTTTGCAGAGCTTCACATCTTTCCTTGCCTCATTTCTTCCTTTCTTTGTCTTTCTCACAACTTGGGAGTTGTAATATAAGGATACTTGGCCATAATTGATATAGTATAAAATACTAAGAAGAGTAGTTGTGAACATACCCTACTCAGATCCCCTCCGGGAAAGTGTCCGTTACCCAGCGGGAAGGAGTGGGCTGAGCTGACAGCCCCTTGCCCTCAGTATCTTCAGGATTTGCCTCCACTTTTGAGGTCAAATGCTTCTCAAGGCAGCTCCTGGCCACGATTGATTGTGACAGTGGCAGCTGAGATCACACTCTTCTTGGGTGGCTCCCATCTAATGAATGAACAAAACTACCCATGCTCTAACAATTATTCAGCCCGACTTACCCATGCTCTAACAATTATTGCTGGTTCTCCACTGAGTTGTCAGGTCTGCATCACAGGCTGATAAACTCCTCTGCCCATTGTGCCTCCTCCCTTTTTCTTTCATAGTTGTTCCTCCCATAAACCTTTTACACTCCTCCCTCCCTCCCAGTGTCTGCTTCCCAGATAGTCCAGGTGGCATGACTGGTACCAGAAATAGTCTGAGAAATCAGACTATCAGATGGGGGTTGGTGGTTGGATTACTCACCACCTAGCTAGCAATAAACACTCCATTCTGATGGATAGAGCACAGGGAACACCTGGCTAAAGGAAAGAGTCCTGTTTCTAAAATGTTCACTGGTGGTGAGTTGAGCCAATGTGCCAGTGGAGAGGAATGCATTGGCTGGCACAATGATTTAGGGGTTTGAAATGTAAGGGTAACTATAAGACTAATGTAATTAGAGGGTTGTTAAGAAGTTGCCTTGCTACTCTACAGACTGACATTTTCACCCTACAGACTGATAATGAAAAGCTGTGTGTTTATTGACTTGGAGGTCTCTTTCTTAGGACAAGAGAATTTAACATCCAAGCTAGGACGATAGGGGATGTTGAAAATTTGTAGCTAGGGCGATTCCTGGAAGCCTGGGAAAAGCAACAGCTCTCACAGAACCAGAATAGGAATGCTTAAATTGCCATATATACAGAAGAGGAAGGGCATAAAAGCCTCAGGGAAGTAGGAATGCTGGAATGCATATGTTACATGAAGCTAGGTGGAAGAATAATGGTCCCCAGGCCCAAAGGATATGCCCTTCACCAAGGATGTTAGAAAGGAACTGGTAAGAGGGGTCCAACGTCACTATGAAGTTTAGTGTGACTCTCTTCTGCAGGCCAGAGCTAATTGCAGCAGAGACGGTCATAGAATTTGGCTCACTGACAACAAAGGCTCTGGAACAAGGGAGGCCAGTGGTAGTATTTCACCATTAGAAGCAGAGGGTCACAGTGTTCACAGTTAGGGATGGTTCATAGAACACAGCATCCCTAGGGGTAAATAGTTGAGCCAACGGACACTGCTTAATACACAGTCAAAACAGAACAAGAGTGGATGAGTGGGAGGTTGAAGGAAGTTATCCAAAAAAGTCTCTTGCCCAGTTTCTGGACTTGAACCAGTTTTCAGTTTTCAGACCTGGTGCCCATTGACTGAAGAGATGACTGGATCCCAGGGAGAAAAATCTGCAGTACATAATGATCTCCCCAGTGCTTCCTAAAAGGGATCTAGGCCATGTACTTGAGTGACTGTTCACTGGGGAAAGGGAAAGATTCAGACATTTCAAGGACTGTTGGAAACAGTCCAAGTTGACCTTGACACTCAATGACCTGAAACTTTATCCTGGACTCTGTATTAGAGTCAGGGCATACATACATACAAGGGGCCAGGAAATTCAATGGAGTTTTAGCCAAAATCTGGGTCCACTAGGTCTATGAACTCACCTGTTACTCATTCCGCTGGCCCCCAAATATATAATTAGGATTGACATATGTAACAATTGGAGTGGCCCACACATTGGGCCTGTTGGTGACAGCTATAGTGGGAAGGCTATGTGAAAGCCACTGAAACTGACCCCCTCTCACCAAGATAATGAATTAAATACAGTATATCCCTGGAGAGGAATGGCAGAGATTAGTGCCACTCTTAAAGATGTAGGCATGGTGGTCCCTATTGTAGCTCTGTTTAATTTGCAGTTTTGTTCTTGCAGAAACCAGACAGATCCTGGAGACTATTGCTAGTGCAATCAAGAAATAGCCCTGATCACAGCTGGCCAGCCAGATGTTGTTTCTCTGCTCAAACAGATAATGTGGTCTCTGGTATATAATATGCAGCCATTGGTTTGGCAAATGTGTACTTTTCTATTCCAGTCAGGAAAGAAGATCAGAAACAGTTTGCTCCAGGGCCATGTTAACTCTCCCACCTCTGTCATAATTTAGCTGAAGTCATCTGGACAATCTGGACAAATCACAGAACATTGCATTGATTCATTACATTGATGGCATCATGCTGATCTAGCAGGATAAGTAAGAGAGTGTTAGCATGTTGGAGACCTTGGTAAGACACATGCACTTGAGAGGGAGGGAGATCAACTCTATAAAAAATTCAGGTATTTGCTGACTCAGCAAAGTTTCTACACATTCTATGGTCAGGTGGAAGAGGGAGATGATGAGTACCAGTTATGCCACAAGACCCACTGTAACCATGGTGGTTATAGTTCATCCCTCTAACCTCCCTCTTCTAAGTTTCCCCTCAGGAAGAGAGTTCCACCAAGGTTCTGGAGGAGCTGTTCCCCAAACGTGTTATAAAGTGGGTCCACGTGGCACACAGGTAAACTGTGGCAGGTGTGGAGATGCATCAATCAGATCCTTTCTCAAGAAAGGCCTCACTCCTCAGCTGCAAGGAGTGTGGTTAGCTGACAGTCCCCAGTTGTTTGTGTCTTTAGATCAGCTTCAGGTTTTCAAATCATGCTTTTCTCAGGGGGTTTCCAGTCAATGACTGAGCAAGGCCTAACCATTTCCACTCACTAGGGGAACTTTCTTAACAATCTTTGCTCTGGAGTTTCCTGTTGGAATAGGCTGCCCAGCCCTGCTTCTGCCCCTGTTCTTTCACAAATGTTACCCTTTTACTCTTAAACTTTTGCATTTATAACTTCTTTTCAGTGTTTTCTTCTGAGAGAATCTAAATGGGACAGATGCATCCATCAGGCCCCTGAACTCAAGTCGTTCCCTGCTACCAATCCTGGGATGTGTGACCTAATTAATCAGAACTGTTTTCTCATATATAAAATTAAAGACTTATTCCTTTCATACTTACATTATCTGATTATTGTGAGGATAAAATGAATATGTATAGGAAAATGCCATGTCATTTGAAAATCACTATGTAAATGATTATAGTTTTTCTTGAAAGGCCTAAAGAGTTAAAGCATTTCCCAGATTACTTAACACTCCTGGATAGTTTCAAAAAATTCACACAGTTAATTGTTTTCAAGTGCTTTTAAAGCTGGTATGATGTAGGTGGTTTTTCTGTAGCTATACTTATTCCCAGGAAGTAACATACACTCAGAGATCTTGCATCCCAATCAGATACAGACCTAAATAAAGAATTGTAGACTATTACAGCAACCTGCCATGGGAATTTGGGTTTGTTTCTCTTCATTTTTAGCATAACAATTACTAAGATAAAGGAAACAAGAAACATTGAAACAACTCTTTTGATAAAACACAGCAGCCAGAGTAATGGGGAAAATACTTAACAGCTGTGCAACTATGAACCAATTTTCTCTAGCCCTATTGTGATAAGGCATAATTTTATATCTGTGGATAAAGATTGTAATTTTAATATACATGTAAATAGAAATTTTCCTATAAACCTTCTTTTAGTGCTGTTAGTATTTATACTTACCTATAATGTATTACAAGAAGAGAGTAATCATGTCATCACTTTTTATCAGAAAAACTTTTAGCAGTAACTTCTTGGCAGAAAAGATGGGAAAATTTTCTAGAATGTGCCATTCAAACAATGCTTAGCTGGTAATACAGATTTGTAATGGGTTTCTTTCTTTATTCCTGACTTTCAAAAGGTGTATCTCTGATCTACATTTGAGAGTTGATACAAATTCAATTACAAGCTTTGAAAGCTTGTGGTTGCACGTAAAGTACTGTAGAAAGGTTTGTAACAACCAGTCCTTTTTCACTTTTTGCTCATTCTGCCCAAAGTGATAATTATTTTATTATTATCTTGGTCAGAGCACATCTATAGGTCTAAAATGTTCATCTGAGTGATAGCTAAAACTTGTGGTTTTTATCCAGACGTCAGGACAAAACTGAAGTAACTGTAGCTGATAATGCATGGTTAATCCAAACGGCTTTGTTGCATGTATTTTAGAAATGTGGATAAAAAATAGAAAAGTAAAAAAGATAAAGGTATATAATTCCCATTGTGCTTTACTAAGGATGTATCTGCAATGTGAAGTGTGCTGTTAGCAAAGATAATGCCAATGATATAAACTGGATTGTAAGATCCACTAAGCAATTCTAAGAAAGCGTTTCATCACACTTGAGGATGAATAGCAGAATCCTTCAGATTTACATGATTTTCTTTTCTTTTTTTGTATGAGTGCTTTGGCAACTCTGATAATACAACTTCAAAGGGCTCAAAGCCAGTGACCTCAAAACGAGGTTCACAGAAAAGTACACAATGATGAAACCTGAAGCAATAAAACCACCATGAACTGAAACGTAAACACTCACACTACTAGGACATGACTAAATTTTCATTTAATTTTATTTTGTGTTGGAGTCTACGGGTTGTCTTCAGACATCTTCCTTTCTTGTGTCTCAAGGGAGCTAGAGGAGAATTCAATAGTCTAGGGGATCCCAATAAAGTTCAGCATAGAGTTCACCTAACATTACAGAGTACTTTTTGTTGAATATAGGAGTTATCCATCCCGACTCCCTCCGGGCAAAAGGAGGCAAATTTACATTTGAGGGTCCCTTTGAATGACTGGAGTTGGAAAAATTCTCACTTCCTCCACCGTTGTTCTTCTTTTCCCGGAGTTTGGAGGCCACCTATCCGCGGAGCACACCTGTCACTCTAACTGACTCGGCAGCCGGCAGGCAGCGGGTCGCTGGCTCCAGCCCGCTGGAGGAGGAGGCTGCGCGGAAGGAAGGAAAGAGTCGGCGCGCGGCCGCTTGCAGGCGTGGGTGGCGACGCCGAGGGGCGGCGGCGGCGCGCGCGGGCGGGGTGTGCGCGCCGCCGCCGCCGCCGCGTCACCAGCGTGCGGCACGTGCCCGTGTTTACGTCCCTCGTGGAGCACGGACGTCAGCAGCCGAATGGCAACATTGTGGCAATAGTGAGGCTTAGAGTTTAGAAGACGCTTCCATCAGTGGGCCCAGCTCAGGGCGGTCGGGAAGAGGAGGAGGGGCGGGGACATCGGCCCGGGCGAGCGGCGGAGACGCACACACCGCCGGCCCCGACCGCCTACCGGCCTATCCGGCCCCGCGGGACCCGAGCTTCACCTTCGGAGCGCCGCAGACGCAGCACCGCGGCCTCGCGCTGGGGGCAGCGCCGCAGCGCGAGGCTTGTAAACAGATCCGACTGCACGTGACCATGTGAACTACCTGCTCTGGGGACGCGTATTGTCTTTCCTACGAGCGGCGCCACAAAGGAGCGCGGCGGGTCCGAGTGCTGAGGGTCGGGTGAGCGAGTGGGGAGAGCCGGCCGGCGCGCTAAGATGGCTGAAGGCTCCCGGAGAGGGTGAGCGGGGGGCGCGGCGCAGCCAGCCGGTGAGTCCTGAGGCGGGCAGGGCCGGTGGCGCCTCCCCCGAGGACTGGCGTCGGAGCCACCATGTCGTTCGCGCTCGAGGAGACGCTCGAATCGGACTGGGTGGCCGTGCGACCCCATGTATTCGACGAGCGTGAGAAGCACAAGTTCGTCTTCATTGTGGCCTGGAATGAGATTGAGGGCAAGTTTGCCATAACCTGCCACAACCGAACGGCCCAGAGACAGAGGAGCGGCTCCCGGGAGCAGGCGGCGGTGCGAGGGGGCGCCGATGCCGGTGCCCTCGCGTCCGACGGGGCCCGCGCGCCGGGAAGCCCGGCGGGCAAGGGCCGACCGGAGGCCACTGCCTCTGCTACTCTGGGCAGAAGCCCGGGGTCCCGGAGGAGCCCGGCCTGGGCGGAGGGCGGCTCTCCTCGGAGCGCGCGGAGCCTGCGGGGGGACCCGCCGCTGCGGAGTGTGGCCGGCAAAGTGGCGGAGAGCCCCCTCAGGAGCCCGGTGAGGGCCAAGAATAGCCCGGTGCGGAGGAGATCCGAAGGCCGAGATTTGGCGGGGGCCGCTGCGGCAGTCCCGCCGGCGCCCAGAGAGGGCCCGGTGTCTTCGGTGCGGGTAGTGAGCGCCTGCGGCGCGGTATCCGAAGAGATCGAGGTGCTGGAAATGGTGAAGGAGGATGAGGCGGCCTCGGCGTCGTTGGCGCCCTCGGACGCGGAGCAGCCGCCGTCCGCAGTCGAGCTGGAGTCCCCAGCCGAGGAGTGCAGTTGGGCCGGGCTCTTCTCCTTCCAGGATCTGCGCGCTGTGCATCAGCAGCTATGCTCCGTGAACTCGCAGCTGGAGCCCTGCCTGCCTGTGTTCCCCGAGGAGCCCTCGGGCATGTGGACGGTGCTGTTCGGCGGCGCCCCAGAGATGACTGAACAGGAGATCGACACTTTGTGTTACCAGCTTCAGGTCTACCTGGGCCACGGCCTGGACACCTGCGGCTGGAAGATTCTTTCCCAGGTACTCTTCACCGAGACGGACGACCCCGAGGAGTATTATGAGAGTCTTAGCGAGCTGCGGCAGAAGGGCTACGAGGAGGTGCTTCAGCGGGCCAGGAAGCGCATCCAGGAGGTAAGAACCTCGCCTGGGCTCCATTCATCGCTTTTGGTTTACTCACTACCAAAGCCAGGAGCCCCGGAATTGGCTGTGCGCGTTTGGGACACATATTTTTCTGGATGAGAGAGAAGATAGAGATCTCACCCGTCATTCCTTTCAGTCAGTAGGAAACCGTGCCTTTCCGTCGGCCCTCTGAAAGAACTTTGAGAAGTCTTTCGATGCCCGCCCTCCCATTGCAGCGGTGTATCAGGCTCTCTGAGTGCTCTGTTAACTACTTAGGCCTGGTAATAAGCGTAAAGCCTCTCATAAAAAAGGTGTCCTGTAAATACAAGCTAAATGAGCGTTTTTCTTTGCCCCTAAAGCTCTTTCGAGCAATAACTGCTCAGATTTTAATTCTGCTTTCTTGTGGCATGTTCATTTACTCAAAATAGTTGTTTTGTGGAACAAAGTTGGTCTTTTTTTAATCTCCGTATGTAGTTTGGCAAGTTAGAAAAATTTTAAATTTTCTTCCAAATGAGTGACTTGTCTAAATGAAAAGCGTTGACAATTGGGTGCAAATGTATTTTTAAAGGTTTTGTTTAACAGATGGCTCCTGTGTTAGGGAGAGTAAAAGATCCTGGGCAGGAACATTTATTGTTCTTATATACTTTAAAAGTAGCACAAAATCTTTTTCAAACTGTCTTATTCTTAAACTAACAGGAGGAAATAGTGGGGAAAAGGTTTGAATGGCTATACACGGAGCTCCACAATGTGTAAGATGCGTATAATTTGCGGTCATGGCTACCGCAACAGCTTCTGCTGAATTACTTAAGTTAAAATAAGAAATTTTTTGTTTCCCCTAATGGACACTAACAGATGCTTTGTGCAAAGCAATTTCTCCTTACCAGTTGAGGTTGGAGTTGGAGTGGGGAAATGACCCTTTTTTTGTTTTTGTTTTATATTTCTGACATTTTGTTGTCATCTATTAACCTTGCTTATGTTTTTCTAATACTCAAGTCCTGCTATTATTAAGGCTAGGAAGCTGAAGCCTCCTGGTTTCTTAATAGAATATTATGCATTTTTTGTTGCTAGATCTGAGGATTTAGGAAGTAATTCTTTCTCACTTACCCCACAGTGGTCTCTTACAACTTCCTAATCCACATTTTTACTCCTTCCTGTTAGTTTAATGTTAAACATAACCCATCTTAGTGTGATCCTAGAGTTCCAGGTATCTGTTTTTATTTCCCTTTTTATCATGTAATTTCTGGAGTGTGTTTTCTGCCGTAAATTATCTTTGGAAAGAAGTGACAGCAATCTTTAATGGTCATATATTTACAATTTTGTTAATATTGACCTACATTTCTGCTAAACTGAGGGACAAAGTGCTTTTTTCTGATATTCATTTTAAGCATACATATTATACTTTAAAAATTTCTCTTTTTTAAAATCTCTAAATGTTACAAGTATGTCCGGTTTTTAACTTTATTGATAGAAGAAGTTATTTTGTCTGTTTTGTTTTTTTTTTAAACAAATTATGTCTAAAAAATGAGGGTTGCCGAAAAACACAATTACAGTTTTCTTCAACTCTTTCATGGTGTGTGTGAGCAGGATGGGGGTGGGAAGTTACGTTTTTTAAAGAGAGTCTTTTCCTAATTAAAGTTATATTGACCATAATGTTTTATTCTCTTTAACAGGGAAAAATTTAAACTTTTTAAAGAGTATTTTGTGGTTTGGAAAAGAATAAGTGAAATTTATTATGAATTCATTCAACATTAAATCCATACATTTTTGGTGCTTCATTAGTTGACTTGAACAGTATTTGAAGAAGACTGTCAAAGTCTACAAGTAGATGCAGTTATAATGCTCACCCTAATTTCTGCTGGAAGCTTATATTGAAAGAGATTGAGGCTCAGTGGGGGAAAAGGGTGGGTAGTATGATTAATTAGTGATGTCTGCCATGGGCATGATAATGGGAATGTATAGCACACTAGCCGTGTAGTTATTTTTGTTCCCCAGCTGGTTAAATTATTTGCTATCTTAATAGTTTGTAGTAACATTATTTTTCAGGTGATATCTTTCAAGTTGTGTCATTTTCTTTTTTGTATTAGTTGTAATGAGTTTAGTAATTACCTCTAAATCAGTTTTTTTATTCCAAATTCTCGAGTTGATTTAACTTGTGGAATTGGCTACAGGTTTTCAAACTAGGTAGATTTGGTAAATCAAACACATTCTTATGGATGTGTTACTTAGAAAATTTAGTCCTTTTGTCATCTTTTTCCTTCTTTAATATCTCTGGATTGATTAATATCTCTGGTCCTTTCTACAATATTCTTTTTCCTATCCATTTAAAGGTTTCAGCTTAAAGACCACACCTGTTTTTCTTCAAATGGTCACTACATTACTGAAAGGAGTGTTTTGTTTTGTTTTTAAAGAACAGACTGTACAACTGGGCTGTAAACCTCTTAAGGTCTGTGGCCTTGACAGTATCTTGGAATTCCCTTCTTTGTCACCCCTAGTTCAGGGCCACACATCATGTATATTATTAGTGGGCCAAGGACACCACATATTTTTTTTTTTAAGTAATGTAAGAATTTAAAGGATGGAAGAAGTGTCCTTTTAAAGTTTGTGGGTGAATAAAACTTTATAAGCTGATAGATATAAGTTGGACCATGCTATTTAAAAACTTGGAGAAAGTCTCTTAAAACTGAAAAAACTCTCCAGTCTTTATCTGAGATTAGTGAGTTTGCTATAAATTGAGGGGAGCTAAAGGTGGACTTAAAGGGGATACATTAAGTAGCATGCAGAGTTTTATGAGTATAGGCATATTTTCATTTTTTGAGAAAACTGCTCTTACCAAACTCTTAACAGTGTTCTTTAGAAAGCTTTAAAGCCACAGTCGTAAATGATGTGCTTTGTGAGCCTAGTGCACACCTTTTTTCGAGTTTTAAGTTTTGGAATACACTTATAGTTTAATATAGGGTCATAGAAGTACTCCTATGTCTTTGTCTTGTGAAATATTGAAGAGTTACTAAGTTTTCTGCTAGAAGATTTTGTTACTGACTCACAAATTTGGTCAACTGACTGGAAATAATAGTTCTGTGAGTAACTAAAATTTATACAGTACTAATAAATTATTTTCATTTACATAAGAACTGTACGTTTGTATACTACTTAGGGCCTCAATCTTGAATACAAATGAAATGTGGAATTTATTACATGGTAGGTGGTAGGTTTGTCTGGGAGTTTTTTTTTTTTTTAACAAGTATTTTATTGTAAGTAGTGCTATTTACAGCAGGTACCCAGTCCCTGAATCACATGCCACCAAGGCTTCTTGGAGTGGTTTCAATAGTAGCCTTCGTTGTTGGTTGTAAAAAGATGAATATGTGCTTCTAGGTAAGTACTTTTGTAAAGCAGAAACATGGAGGCTGGTGTCAGGATGGCAGGCACCCTGATAACTAATTTATGAAGTGCTTTCTCTGCTTTCCTCTTAACGTCACATGATGCCTAGTCCAGCAAATATTTCACAGACATGAAAGCGGGCATGTTTCCTTCTTGCTAAAGCAAGGCCAACTTTGCAAACATTTTAGTAATGTGAGTACAAAGGTGTGTCTGTGTATGTTTGTTTATTAAAGGGAGAAGGTGAGTGAGAAGTTGGGTTTGTCAAACATAACGGTTATGTTCCAGTTAGCTATCTTCAGTTCCCAAATCTTCACATCTAAGTTTAATTAAGCAGTCTCTCACTGTTCTCCTTCACTGCTTTATTTGACCTTCCCTTGACTGTAGAACATTGTTGGAAGTGGGGCTTGAAAGCACATGGTGCCTTCCATTGATGGTTAAATGTATGTGTGCTTACTGTTTTGAAATAGGAAGTTTTCCATGGCTCTTTGCACTCTTCAGTGGGCTGGTATTTGCTCCCTCTGAATCTGCCCAGCTCCCTCAGTTGCTGATAAAAAAAGTCCAAGAGTAAGAGACATAGGCAGTGAAGACTAAATAATAGTTCTTGGTGCTGTTTGTCTTTTGGTAGCATTAATGAAGTTCATTTGGCTTTTCAGGCTTCTTATAGGGGACTGTTAATACCAAGTAGCTTTAACACAGACTACCTAAGTTTTGAAAACTGCAAAGGGGCAGAGAAGGATTAATTTAGCAAAAAGCTGGAAAATTGTGAGTTTTTTGAATGTGAGGAATTGTCTTTTCATGCTTGTCCTTGAATTTTAAGATTTGTATGGTTATAATTAAATATAATAAACTTCAGATTGTAGTGAAAGTTCTGTAGTCTAGTCTGTGAAATAAAATAGGCTTGATGGACTAGACATTTTATAGAGAATGGTCTTAAAGATAAGTATATGATGTTCCTTTAATCATTTAGGAATTTAGGTTTACGGTTTCATTTGTCTAAGATTTGAAGATGATGGCGTGAAGTTTAGTTTATTCAACAAATATTGATGCATTCAAATAATGCAGGTACAGGGAGAATACAGTAATAAATAAGGATGGTAGTTTTCTTTGTGAAGAAATTTTAAATAAAATTGGTTGCCAACTCATCCATCCTGCTGTTAGGAATTAGTTGAGGCAGGGTATTTTTTAAGAAGCATTCCACTATACTCTTTGATTAGTGCTTAGTGGAAAGAAAATTTGTTGGACATGGCTGAGGAAAATCTGTTTTTGTCCTAATTCTGATACTAGTTGCGTGACCTTAGGCTGTCACCCTGTTTGGGCCTTAGTTTCCTGTTTTGTAAAGTGAGGTTATAGTGTCTTTACGGATGCAGAGTTGTTTACAGGCACCCATTTTATAAAGAGTTGGGACCTGAGCCACTTGTTTTATGTTCTTGCATATAGGTCCAGGTCTCCTTGTAGTAAGGTGACTGTACAAATTACAGCATTTCTGATGTTGCTAGATTTTTAGACTTTGAAAAAGCCCTTATTCATTTGTGGGTGCAGAGGGCATTAGAAGAGGGCAGGAGTAGTGTTCCTGGTTTTGTGTTTTGCTTGTCCTCAATTTATTACCTGTAGTTGAAGGTTTTTGTGTGTGTGTGCTT